GGGGGGGGGGACATCTTCTTATGAAATTCACCTGCCAACTAGGGACAAAGTATGGCACTCCAAGCACGACTCCAGTGTTTTTTGCAACTAAAACATGGCTGAGCTCATGTATCCCCAAAACAGATGCAGTTACAAGGGCTCCAGGTAGACCATTCTTTAACAGTTCAAGATTATCATAAGCTGACCTGGGACATTAAAAAAAACGACGTCAAATAGCAAAAAGAAACAATTAATGTTGTCCCAGGTAGTCTTCTCAAAATTTAAAATAAACGCTTAAAAAACCAACATATTAGAAACCATAACTTAAATTTAGGGAAAGAAAACTAAATTAGCAATTTTCTTAAGTAAACTTTATCAACAAGGACAAAAGTGAAATGGAGGAGGCTTGTGGAAGAGGACAAGGGAAAAGGGGGGCATAACTGCTGAATTACTTGTCCTTGCACAAGAAAAGTTGGTTCAAAGTAAAGTAATCACATATAAAATGGCAAATAACATCATGCAGACGTCTGTTTCAAACAAATTAGCAGAGAGAAAAATCTCCTAAAGTATTTCAGATCATGAGTGTGCTCTATATTCAAAACTATATATATCTAAGGGTATAGATAAATAAGAAGATAACATAGTGAGGATACAAGATCATAGAAAAATAATAATTTATATTTACTTAGCATAATGAGGATACAAGAAAAGAAAATTGCATACAGTAAATTGGATTGCAATTCAGGAACATTTCGAAGAAGTAGAGTAAACAATGTGACCAATCCAAAAGCACCAGCTGCAAACCATTCTGGGACCGCTGCAAGATTGACACCAAATCCATCATCGTAACAAATTGTGAGCTTTAGAAAATGATTTCTGCCTACAATTTCAATGGAAATCCTGTAAAGCTAAATAATCACCAGTTGACTCTGGCTGTAATGTCCTTCGTGGAACTACAACTGCCACTGGTTGATCATCCTCAGGATTGACTAGAAGAAAAAGCTTATATTCATCCCCAAATTTGTCCTGCAAACAGATTGTGCAGATGTTAACAAGGAATCGATCATAAATTTGAACAGAAACTAAAGAAGATAGAAATATACCTGCATTCTCTTTGATATCTTTTCGTAACTTTTGGCAGCCACTCCTCGCAGGTTTCCTTTAAATAGTACTCCAGCCTGGCAGAAGTAACACAACAATCGGAGATGTACAACCACATGGGCTAGAAAGCATATCTTAAGATTTCAAACGCTTGCTATATGATCAGCATTTTTTCAATTCCTTTCTGTAGGATAGTTTAAGTCCACAGATAAGCATGTAAAAGTTCCTACCACCCATCCGTATTGTCATTACCCAAGTTTTCTTTTTCACTTCTTTCCAGTAGAGAAATGATATAGACATAAAAAGGTTAAATGAAATTTAACCAGTCAACTTACCTCATATGGATCCTGGGCTGTCACAAAAAAAGTATCAAAGCCAAAAACTTGGTTCTTAAGAATATCAAGTGTTTCCTTTGGAATCCGGATTGATTCACCCTGCTGTGGCTGTTTAGGAAATTATTAAGAAGAAGATACTAAAATAAGACATGAAGGGAAGATGTATCTTCTCATATAGGAAACATTAAAGAACTTGATAATCACCTTCGCACCTGGCAGAGGTGATCCACTAGAAACTTCTACATTATTATCAACATCCTGTTTCAAACACAACCTTAGCGCATTAAGTATCAACAGAGCTAATTTGAATACCCTGCTCATCAAAATAAGATATTTATCGTCGATGTCTGTAGTAGAGAAAGATTGAATAATTTATGAGAGAACAACTTTCAGGCAGGTGGCCTCTTCTGTTGGGAGACTGATATCTGAAGGACAATTTTATGACAGGATTTCATGCAGGACCACCAAAGGTCAATATTTTCATGTATAACCAGTGAATGGGAGTCAATAAGTAATTATGATTAAGAAGTGAATCTAGAAACTCCAAGATGTAAAGGGAAGGTGAGTTTTTCAATGACAGACAGTACCTGCACACCAAATTCAGCCTTAGTTTCAGCATCATTGTTTATTTGGTCTACAACTATTGGCTGAGAATCAAGATGGGGTTCCTCAGAATCTCCACCTTCATTTTCAATTACTTCTTTTTCCTACAACATCAAGATGAATGAGAAACACACTAATGCTGAGAAATCAACACTAACAATAATAAAATTGAAATTG